TTTACAGCCACCATTCCTTATTATTTACACATTTTGTGAGACTCATTACAATTCATCTATATAAACTATTTATAAAATTGTCAACTGGAGGCTTATTTGCTCCTCATATCTCTAAATTTTAAAAAAATAATAGCAACATATGAAATGTAACAGAATAATAGTTCTTTATTTCAAAGCATGTGAATTGAATATTTTGGACAAAACCATTATTACGACTAAATGTGCTAATTAATAGAAGATTAAGGATAAGTATACATTAGAAAAAGGTGAAATTAAATGTGCGACAAACAAACAAAAATTTTAAGCATTTAGTGCAATTTACAGAAATGTAAAAACAAAAGAACAAATATGATATAAATATAATCATCTTTAATGTTATTTGAATTGTCTGTTGATCCCAAAGGCGACACAAAGATTGAAATTAATGACGTTATATGAAATATGTAACAAGATCACAAAAATGAAACAAGATTAAAGTAAATAAATCAAAGAAAGTTAAGCAGAGGAAACGATGTTTTATTATAACAATGATATGGAGAAAAATTACAGCACAGTAATTTTGGCTTGAACTAAACTAAAAGAAGATGCCACTATTTACATGTACATACTATACCATAAAGATGGAAATAATATATTTTTAATAAAATCACGTGAAAACAAGGAAATAATTTTTCCACGTGAAAATAAGGAAACAACTTTTTCCTAATTTAGGTCATAAACCCAACAATCTCTACCTTAACTTAAATTCTGGTGCAATGAACGAAACTTTAAAATTTTTTCACCAAGAAAAATATGTCCAATTGCATCAAAATAATCGAATTCTTTAAAATAGTAACCAAAACTCTCCATCACAAAAAAAAAAAAAAAAAAAACTTTCTCTGCCAGGCGTCCACAAGCGACACCCGAATCCAACTCCGAATTTCCCAAAATTCCACTAAGAAATTACTATTGACCAAACAGGGTCAAAGCACAGTTTGTAGTAGAAACCATACCAAATGCCTGATCAGAATGCTCTTTGCTAGAACTATCACCTCTAACGATCTCAAAAGCATTACAGCCATCATTAACACCACTGTATCTATGCTTCACGAGTCCAATCTTAGCAACTGAACACAGTGTATCAACTGAAATTGGTGGCAAAGCGAAATCACTAATGCTCCCATGAGCAATGTTCTAAATCGACCCAGTGCCCGTTACAAGAGGTACAGTACCAAACTGAATATCCACCATGTTACTAAACTTGTCCAGATATCTCTTAACTGATTTTGTGCTTCTCTGCAAGATATACAATTGAGACTTCTTCTGTCCCTCCAATACAACCCAGACACCCCTTCGTATCTTCAAGACTCTACCTCCACCAGAGAAATTATGCCCTTTTGCATCCAGAGTACTCAGAGAGATGAGATTCCTTTTCAGGTCTAGAACATGTTGAACTTGATCAAATGTTTTGACCGTCCCATCCTGTAACCCTAATCTGATTCGACTGATTCCAGTAACACGGCAAGACTAGTTATTTTCCAACACAAATCCACCTTGTTTGACAGCCTCATATGTTTGAAAAAAAAATTCGATTGGAACACATATGATGCGAACATGTCGAATCGAGATTCTACTCTTCGTTAGGTTTGGACTCTACATCAGATACCATGGTCAACATCACATCATCGCCATCTAAAAAACTCTTGCTAACATTAGTCTCGTTCGAATTGCATGATTGCCCCCTATGATTTGCAGCTAAATTACCTTTAGCCCGTAACTTATCGCAATCTTTCTTAATATGTCATTTCTTCTTGCAGCAGAAGTAGTACAAATTGTTGAAGTTCATCCTCGATCTACCCCTCCGTCGATCACCATGAGATACCAGAGCTTTCTCATCCCCCGATGTAGCTCCAACCAAATGCTTCATCTTCTCATTTGAGGATAGAGCATCGTAGACATCCTCAATGGTCAAAATATCACGACTGTAGAGGATGGTATCCCGAAATGATGAATAAAAGATGGGCAACGAACACAACATGATCAAGGTCAGGTCCTCCTCATCGTACTTAACCTCCAATGCCTCTAGATCTGTAACTATTTCCTTGAACACAGCAATATGGTCATCCAGTGACCCTTCTTCCGCCATTTTATAGGAATACAACTTTTGTTTTAGAGTTAGTTTGCTAGTGAGACTTTTAGTCATGTATAATTACTCCAGTTTCAATCACAAAGTAGCTATTTTTTCTCATTCAAGATGTTCTGCAGAATATTATTGGATAAATGAAGATGAATTTGAGATAAAGCCTTCCAATCCCTCCATTATCCAATTAGCCACTATCTTCTCAAAACTCAACAATGCATCGTCCAAATCCAACTGCGCCAAAATAACCCTCATCTTTTCTTTGCCATAGAGAAAATCTTGTATTGCAATTCAATAGCGAATATCATATTTCAATGTAGCCATCTCTAAAATTCCAATCAAAACATGAAGAACCTACAGCCTAGCTTTAATACCACTTGTTGATCCCAAAGGCGACGCAAAGATTGTGATTAATGACGTCGTATAAAATATGTAACAAGATCACAAAAGTGAAATAAGATTTTAAATTAAAGAAATCATAGAGAGTTAAGCAGAGGAAATGATGTTTTATTATAACGATGATATAGAGACAAAAATTACAATACAACAATTTTGGCTTGAATTAAACTGAAAGAAGATGCCACTATTTATAGGTACATACCATACCATAAAGATAGAAATAATGTGAAATAGGGAAATAATATATTCTCAATAAAATCACGTGAAAATAAGGAAACAATTTTCTTTCCTAATTCGGGTCATAAACCCAATGTTGTCTTCATCAAATATCATTGCGTGTCACTTGGATATTTAACATTTAAATAGACATTTTTTGTTAGATGGGGGATTCCCGTATGTGAAGTTAAAATGTTGGGGACAGGGGTGCTACTCATGAAAGATTGAGGATACAACAACTACACACATAAAAGATTGGTGACTATAGAGGAATTTATCCTAAAACAAAATATGAGAGAGACTGGGGGGAGGGGGGAGAGAGAGAGAGTAAAATTATGGTAGAGTAATTAGAGACCTTGCTACATCAACATAGAATAATAAAAGAAAATCATAACTGAAAAAGCAGCAAAAACAGCACAGAAAAGCCTTTCAATCCCAGCTGACACAAAGGGCCTTCGTAAAACGTCGTTTATATTAAAAAATCTACAGTTGAAAAACAAAAAAATTGGGCCACGAATGTGAGAGAATAAGATTAGTGGGCACTCAACAACTCTGTTTCTCTTAGTCTAACCTATTGTGATTTCCCTTTGTTTTATGCATATGTAAGTGTGTATTCTTTGTCCTTGTGCAAATTGTTGCCTCACATATACTCGTCTCTCTGTACAATATACATACACACTCAACCCCCGAGACATAGGTCAGTGGTGCAAAGGATAGGAGTGAAGTTATCTCATGCCTTGCTGGCAACTGCAGTTTGGGGATTCAATTCCTAAGACATGGAATTGGACTACTTGTACGCAAGGTATACAGACATCTCTTGTTCTCTAGCATGTTGGGGCATATTCCGCGATTTATCTCCCTCACAAAGCTCTAGGTGTGGGGCGGTGAGGGCCCTCAAGGTTGGGGTTCAACACTTTTTTTTATTATTATTAAATACACACCTCAGTTGAGAGCCACATAGCTTCTGTACCAATTCACTAAGCATTTTCCAATACCAAGAAATTGACTCTTTTCTGTTTGTCCTCTTTCAAATCCCAGAATATGATCCCATTTTGCTTCTTAATTTGAGGTAGGCTTTGTTTTTTCTCCTTGTTTATCTTGGCATGGAGGCCTATTGTGATCTTGAAGTTGATCTCAATGGAGAAGAGGTTTTCATGGTGGACAAGGTAAACAGTCTTTTTTAAGTTTCAATTAAAATTTTACTCCTTTTCATCAATGAATTATACATTATAAATAGATTTTACTGTTAATAAAATTGCAGAAATTTAGGATTTTGATTGAATTTACTTGAATTGTAAGATGGGTTATTTGAAAATTTGATTCTTTGGCATATTTGTTTGCAGTATAATTTTGCATAATTTTCCTGTTATTATGTGGGGCTTGATTTCTGGTGATTATTCTCTGTCTATCCACTTATTTTCGCCATTCAGAGAAAGCATTCTCCTGTTATTTTATTAGAGTTCTCGCTCGCATTTATTGTTGTTGTTATGGAGATTTAATGTTCAAACTTTTTTGTGCCTTTTACACTTATTTCGAAAGTGACCAATAAAAGAGTCTTGTTGGGATCAGTGGCGAATCCAGGAGTTTGAGTCAGTATGGGCGGCCGTTGACCATCTACCGTTGGCCGCAATAAAATATTAAAAGTCCTTTTGGTATCCCTTTTTTTTTTCTTTTCTTTTTTTTTTTTTTGCAAAAAATGCATTTTGGAATGGTGATTTGATGGAGAATGTCTGAACGTGTGACTAAAAATAAAGAAAATTTTTGAATTTACGTGTAATATTATTTTATTGAAGAATGTATGGATGAAGAGAAGAAAGAAAAATGTAGTTTTAAAAAAAGGGAAATCGAACAAGGCCTAAAATATAAATATAACAATTATTTTGTTCAAAATGAATATATATAATTCTGTTATAAGAATAAATATAACTTATCAAATAACATTGTTGCCAAGTTTTGTATAATTCAAAGGAAGAGTGTGAATTCGAATATTTAAAATTATTTGTATTAAAACAATCAAAACCTAACAAATATCATTTTGTTATATTTAGCAACACAATTCAAGAAGTACCATACCGGTTAAATTCATCACAATCCTTTCTTGAGATCATGGATTCAAATCCTCATTGTCCCTCCCTTATTGAATTTTGATAAAAATTATAGAATAAAAATAATACATAACAAGTCCATTGACAAATATTGGAATTTAAAACTTGAAATATATTAAGGCTGGCTCTTACCAAGTAAGCTACATGGATGTTTGGAGAGTATGATTGGTTTGCGATTAGATCAAGCAACACTAGACAATTTGCTTGTTCCATCTCCGGTCCGGGCACATTACCTGTACGATGTAAATCTTGTTATTAGGCTCGTGAAATCATTTCTTGCCAAAGGAGTATGGTGTTTGCCATTGAGTCGACTGAAGAAAGTGGCTAGCTTAGTAGATTTATATATAGCTGAAGTAGCTCCCGATCCTCACCTGAAACCATCGAAGTTCTTGGCTCTAATTAGGGCCCTGCCGGACTCTACTAGAGACTCTTTTGATGGAATCTACCATTCCGTAGATTTGTATCTAGAGGTATGTTATATATATACTGTGAATTCTCGTGGAAAAGTATATCACAGATTTGATTGCACATCCAGAAAATGGTGATTTAATTTCTTGATATTGATACTTATTTATTTATATAGTTCTTCTCTCGGGAAATGACTTAATGGAAAGCTCATTCCTCTGCTTTATTCCTCTGAATGGATAAAAATCTGAGTGAGAAGTCGGTTGTTATTAGAAATCCATGGCTAAATTTTGATACACAAACAGGAAATGATAGTTGGAATATTGGGTATTATTTGTTATAGAATTCAAATTCTAGTGGTGGATTTTCATACTCATAAGTCGAATCTGTCCATGCGTTATCATCAAATATCTCATCTTACGGCTTGCAAATGTCTAAACGATTCGAACAAGCATTATGTCTTCTAAAAAGGAAAAAAAAAAAATATATCAAGTATCATTAAAATGAAACACATTGAAAAAATGATGAGAAATTGAATGGCTTTCATGTAACCTTCAATGATTCAGATCACGAGTTAGCTCAAACAAAAATTCACAACACTACAGCCAAAAAGTTGCAATTAAAATCCTCTTCATGAGTTCTAAAATCTATCTCAATTTTTTTGGTGTAATATATATATTCTAACACGACAATATATAAAATAATGATCTCGTTTCATGCCAAAATATGATTATAACTAATATAGAACATCATAGTAGAATCTTTATAGAACGAGATCAATATGCCGTCCAAACATGTCAAAACAAAAATAATTCCCCACTGCATTAAGGTGAAATTATTTAGAGTTGGATAATCCCTTAAAGGCCACTACTTCCCAAGAGCAAAAACAAAAAACTTGAAATTAGACTGATTCAATCATATGCATTGACGATTCACTTCATCTTCCTTCTCCGTTCTTATTAGACCCCATTAATAAAAGATGGGATGGATTAGCAGGATGTGGTACACTTTCAATCGGTTGTTTGTTCTTCCCTAAACCTAAAGTTGAGCAGCGATTTGGTGATGACATCTTCTATGAACTATTAGGATTTATATGCTCAATGAAAATCTCCAATAGACAGATTTCTTGTCTGAAGAACAAAAAATGAGCGTCTGTAGTGGACTATATTACGAGAAACTATCATCCGAGGCCTTAAACCTCCTCTCTTCAAACACAAAATTCCCATCAAAATCTGCAGTCGGAGCCCTTAACTTTCAGCAGCGCAGACTCAAAAACTTGCTTCAACGCACAAACCAACCAAATAGCTTTACCAACTCTCCCATTTTTAACGAAACAGAGCGCACAGAGAGGAAAGACGAAAGCTATGATGAAATTGTGCTTTATGCAGGAAATCTCGATTTCTCAATTGAGAATGAGAGGATCAGAGCACATTTACAAGACATGGAGAGTGCTGGAATTGGAAAAGTTTTGCAGGAAAATGCAAATTCAGATGACAAAGATGATGAAATCAAGATTATCAAACCAAAGCAATGCTAAATCTGTACCTAGACTTTGGTCATGAAATAAATTTGTATCTCAATTTTTACATATATGTGTACTGTGTACATAGTCTGGGACATATTCTTTTCCTTTATTTTCTGCATCATAAAAAGTGGTTTGAGGAAAATGGCTTTTACAGAGAATGAAGTATTGGCTGTATAGTAAAAGTATGAGAAAAACTGTGTTTTTTTCCTGCAGAAACTGATTATTCTCTGAAAAGATGAGTTTAAGCAAAAAATGGTACAGTAAGGTTAAGTCCCTTTTCAATACCATTATCATCTTGGGACAATCCGTGATGTTGGGCGACAAATGGTCTGTAGAAATCCTCATCAGAGTCAGGGGGATTTTACTATTCCATCTGACTCTGGATCATTGCTTCTCATAAACACCGTTTCACTGGGCCCTGAACAGCTTGATACTTTCACCTTGCTGTGGACCATTCTTTGTTTGAGCATCTTCAATGTTGGGTCCATCGATCTTAAGAATTTTAATGTCCTTAAACATAATTTTTTACAAGTATAGTAATACTAAATACTTGAATAAATTACATTTTTATTTCCAAACGAAGACATTGTTGAAATATCGACGTTCGACCCTAAGATCACCTAGAGTGGGTGAATAGGTGAATATCGCGAAATTAAAATTACCAATTAAAAGCAACAAGTTACTTTTTAATTGTTTTAGATGTTTAATCAATCAAGTCAATTTTATCCTATGTCGAATTGCTACAACAGTCAATAAAATAGTAAATAACATATGATTTGTTGACAGATAAAATCCTTCATAGGATTAGAAATTTCGGGGATCAAGCTAGTAATTTCCACTATGAATAATAAGATCTTACAGTATGATCTAGCTTAGAAAACTCACTAGACTTGTTGATATAATTATTGCAATCTACAAGATCCCGCTAAAACGTGCTTCACTCATAAATGTTCCCGACTATCTGGAATTGTCTATCATTACAACTAAAAGAGCCATTTGTAACGTTCAAAAAATGTTGTTGACGGTCTTTAGCAATGTTCAGATATATGTTACAAATCTCAATATTTTCGTAGAATAAAAGGATACACCAATGTTTTTTGAATGTTGCTAATAACATTTTTGCAATATTTTTTGAATGTTGCGAATAACATTTCGCAACGTTTTTTTAGCATTGCTAATAACATTTTTGCAAAGTTTCTTGAATGTCGCAAATAAAACACCATAAATAGTTCAATGGACAAGTTTGCCTCCATTGTTTCCTTTGAGGGTCACTGATAGTTACCAGCGGATCATGCCGTAGGTAAAGAGTAAACATTTTACCAATGAATTTTCCGTTGGTAAAAGTGTGAATCTTTTACTAACGAAATTTTCGTTGGTAAAAATCTTAACCAACACCAACTGACTTTTCGTTGATATATGTCTACCATTACAATTGGTAAAAATCAATGTTGTAAATAGCCACATGGTAAAAATTTTATTTATTTATTTATTTATTTATTTATTATTATTATTATTATTATTATTTATTTATTTATTTATTTAATAATTATAATATTTTTTTATTTTTAGCCAACTGAATTGAAAGGCCAAAATATTGTTTAACTCCTTATTGGATCACAAATTTATAGAGGGCAACTACAAAGATATTGTTGTAAATTTCCGATGCGGGATAAGTGAAATATTTTTACCAACGGATAATCCATTTCTCATTGTCAACAAAACATCCGTTGCTGAAAGATCAAAATGTTAAATGGTTATATTAGGCACGGAATATCCGTTTGTAAAGAGATATCATTTTTACTAACGGATAATCCATTTCTAATTACCAACGGAATATCCGTAGGTAAAAGATCAAAATGTTAAACGGTTATATTAGGCACAGAATATCCGTTGGTAAAGAGATATCATCTTTACGAACGACAAATCTGTTGCTGATTATTGTAGTTAAAAGTGAATTACTTTTACTAACGGATAATCCGTTTCTAATTACCAACGGATGCAATCCGTTGGTAATATTCGGTACATCACCTACGAAATATCCGTTGGAGGAAGATCCAAATGTTAAACGATTACATTAGGCACGGAATATCGGCATTCGTTGGTAATATTCGGTACATCACCTACGAAATATCTGTTGGAGGAAGATCCAAATGTTAAACGATTACATTAGGCACGGAATATCAGTTTATAAAGAGATATCATCTTTACCAACGGAAAATACGTTGCTAATTATCGTAGCTAAAAGTGAATTACTTTTACCAATGGATAATCCGTTTCTAATCACCAACGGATTGCATCCGTTGGTAATTTTCCGTAGGTGAAAAGTTTTTTTTTATCATGTTTAGTACATTGTAGAATTATTATTTAGGTGGCCAGAAGTTGAGAGATTACCTATTTAGACATTAACATCAAAATTAGATATATTCTATGAATTGCTATTTTGCTATTTATGATTTTTTAAAATAAAGTAAAATCATATTTAAATCATGTCCCCAGATTAACTAGGCGATGCCCATAACAAGTGAACCATTCATATCAATTTCTTTTGAATAAATGAACTTAAGAAATAAATTACTATACTGCTATCAAACTTTTACGAAAGGTTAAGGGATCACATCGGTTTAATGTGCAGCAAAGATGGAGGGCCTTGGTGAATTTGTGGAACCGAGCATGAGTCAAAGAAACAAAATCACGATGAAGTTAATATGATCAATTTGTTCAAATTCAACTCATATAACTTCTCTACTATCTTCATTTCCTAGTGTTTAAAAAGAAAAAAATATCATAAATTGTTCGATGGACAAGTTCCCCTCCATCGTTTCCTAATTTTGATGCTAGGAGTCCATTTTCTAGGGTTTGGCATGTTTAGTACATCGTAGAATTGTCTTGACATTAACATCAAAATTAGTTTTTAATATATTCTATGAATTGGTATTTTGATATATATATATATATATCATGTCCTCAGATTAACTAGGCGATGTCTATAACAAATGAACCATTCATATCAATTTCTTTTGAATAAATGAACTTATGAAATAAATTACTATACTATTATCAAACTTTTGTGAAAGATTACGGGATCACATCGGTTTAACATACAACAAAGATATCCTTGTTTCAAATTGAGGGCCTCAGTGAATTTGTGGAATCGAGCATGAGTCAAAGGTACAAAATCACGATGAATTTCATATGATCAATTTGTTCAAACCCAACTCATCTAACTTCTCTACTATCTCCATTTCCTAGTGTTTAAAAAGAAAAAATATCGTAAATCGTTCAATGGACAGGTTCCCCTCAATTTTTCCTAATTTTGATGCTAAGAGTCCATTTTTTGGCCTAGGGTTTGGCATGTTTAGTATATTATAGAATTATTATTTAGGTGGCCAGAAGTTGAAAGATGACCTATTTACTTGACATTAACATCAAAATTAGTTTTTAATATATTCTATGAATTGCTATTTTATATTTATTATTTTTTAAAATAAAATAAAATCATGTTCTTAGATTAACTAGGCGATGCCCATAACAAGTGAACCATTCATATCAATTTCTTTTGAATAAATGAACTTAAGAAATAAATTACTATACTGTTATCAAACTTTTGTGAAAGATTAAGGGATCACATTGGTTAACGTGCAACAAAGATATCCTTGTTTCAAATTGAAGTGCTTGGTGAATTTGTGGAACTGAGCATGAGTCAAAGATACAAAATCACGATGAAGTTCATATGATCAATTTGTTCAAACCCAACTCATCTAACTTTTCTACTATCTCCATTTCCTAGTGTTTAAAAAGAAAAAATATTGTAAATCGTTCAATGGTTCTCCTCCATCATGTCCTATATTGACGCTAAGAGTCCAATTTTTGGCCTAGGGTTTGACATGTTTAGTACATTGTAGAATTATTATTTAGGCGGCCAGATATTAAAAGATTACATATTTACTTGACATTAATGTCAAAATTAGTTTTTAATATTTCTATGAATTGGTATTTTGATATTTATTAATTTTTAAAATAAAATAAAATCATATTTAAATCATGTCTCCAAATTAATTAGGCGATGCCCATAACAAGTGAACCATTCATATCAATTTCTTTTGAATAAATGAACTTAAGAAATAAATTACTATAATGTTATTAAACTTTTGCGAAAGATTAAGGGATCACATTGGTTTAACGTGCCACAGAGATATACTTGTTTCAAATTGAGGGCCTTGGTGAACTTTGTGGAACCAAGCATGAGTCAACATTTGAAGCCACCACTAATGGTGAGTTTCAAAAGGGCTATGTGCATTATTATGAAGCTGCACAATGATTTGAACATCGTTGTAAATGTGTTGCACACCATTTTTTTTTTTTTTTGGAAATCTTGAAAATTAATGATGTAATAAGTGAAAATTGTCCTTGGGAAGGAAAAAAGTGTGGAAATATATATATATATATATATATATATATATATATATATATATATATATATTCCGTAGATTATGAGCATAATAAGCATAGTCGGAAAATTGTGTTCTTTGAGTTCCTTGTGTCATATTAATTTAGATGACACATACTATCCAACTTCTACCCCTTTGTTCCTCTTTCATTCAAAACCTTCCCAAACAAATTGTGACTATTGGTAACATGGAACGAAAGTGGCAAATATGTTTTGTGGCAAATGAACAAACTAACTACTTGAGTACAAATCAACAGTCCTGTCATTATAATCCAAGTTATTGGAATCATGAGTTCATAATGTCTCTCATGGACGATAGTCGGATAATACATTCTTTCTTCCTTGCCGCATGAATTAAATTAAATCTTGCCTTTGAACATATCCTTCACATGTAGACTAGATTTATTTGTTACTCTGCACATTTCTGACAGCTATTTATAATTTATTTTTACTCTATCCAATCAATATTTATCCTTATATTTCATGAGACCTATAAGTACTATCTGCTTATTCACCATTAATTTTATCTATTCACAATTCAAACCAATGACAAACAACTCCAAAA